CGGGGGTGCTCCCGAGCCTTCGGGGCGTGGCTGCAGAGTGGGAGGGGAAAGGGCGGGACGAGGCAGTGATTGGCGTCTCGCTCTCAGGGCTGGACCTGGTCCCGCTGGGTGTGACCTTCCTGCTCTGCTTCTGGGAGATGCAGTACGGCATCGTGGCCGGCATCCTGGTCTCCGGCATCCTCCTGCTCTACACCATTGCCAGGCCCCGGATCACGGTGCGGCTCGGACGCCCTGGGTGGGGTCCGGAACGCGGGAACGCGTCACTACTCCATAGGCGACTGCTTGGAGGGGTAGCTGGGAGCCTTGTGTTGCCTCCTCTTCTGCACGTGCCCCATCCCTTCTGAACACCCCCAGGCCTTCCGTCTGCCCCAGATACGGCACAGAGACCTGTCCCATTAGGGGCATGGAACAGCTGCCAGAAGGGGAGAGATTAAGCAGACGGGGACTTCTCAGCTTGGAAAAGAGATGACTTAGAGGGGATATGCTAGAGGTCAATAAAACCATGGCCAGCGTGGAGAAAGCGACTAGGGAAAAGTGATTTACTTTTTCCCATAACACAAGCACTAGGGGGCATCAAATGAAATTAGTAAGTAGCTGATTTAAAACAACCAAAAGGGAAGAGCTCTTCACACAACGCACAGCCAACCTGTGGAACTCCTTGCCAGAGGATGTTGTGAAGGCCAGAACTTTAATAGGGTTCCAAAAAGAGCTAGGTAACTTCATGGAGGTTAGGGTCCATCAATGGCTGTTAGCCAGGGGGCAGGAATGGGGGATTAGGGGTGGATCACCAGTTCTGTTCACTCCCTTCTGGGGCGCCCGGTGTTGGGCACTGAGAGCAGACGGGACACTGGGCTAGATGGATCTTGGTCTGACCCATTGTGGCCACTCTGATGTTCCAGGGGGCGCAAGGAAACGGTTAACCCAGCATGAATGGTGTTTGATCCCCTCCGTTTCCAGTGCCTGGCCGGGGGTGGGGGGGTTGTGGGGAGAGACGGGGGCAGAGTCCTGGAGCACGTTCCATGACCTGGCGCTGCCACCTCTCGCCCTTCCCCTCTCCTGCAGGTTTCGGACCAGGGGGTGCTCCTCATGCAGCCTGCGAGCGGCCTGCACTTCCCCGCGGTGGAGTCGCTCCGAGACGCCATGCACAGATGGGCTCTGGCAGGTACGGGGCAGGCTGTCCCGTCAGCCCAGCTGGTTCAGTGCCGCTCGTGGGCAGAGCTGGCCTCCTTCCTGTAGTCTGTGCTCCTTCCCCTCTCCTGCAGGTTTCGGACCAGGGGGTGCTCCTCATGCAGCCTGCGAGCGGCCTGCACTTCCCCGCGGTGGAGTCGCTCCGAGACGCCATGCACAGATGGGCTCTGGCAGGTACGGGGCAGGCTGTCCCGTCAGCCCAGCTGGTTCAGTGCCGCTCGTGGGCAGAGCTGGCCTCCTTCCTGTAGTCTGTGCTCA